CAGGAAGGTGGTGAAAGTTCTGTTTCTGCTGCTGTTCATCCCAGGTCTGTGTTACATTGCAGTCCTGCCACTTGGTGCTTTGGAACAGCTGGTCAGCACAGAGCGAGTTCTCAGCTATGACAGTCTGCATGAGCTGCCTTTGTCCCTTCATCCTGCCTGCATGCAGCCTGTGTGTTCTCCTTAGTAAAGCATGTTTCCACCTTCCGAGGGCAACAAACTGCTGCCAAAAGACTCTGGGCTTCACGTCGCCTGTCCTTTATTTGTCCACATGAATGCCAACATTTGGTACATGTCATCATTCTGAGTGTGACCCAGGTCTTCACGGAAACATAGGCTAGGTACACACAACCAGAAGTTGTGTCCTGTAGCGAGTTGACAGTCTAAGACTACTTCTGTCCATGCGCCCAGGAAGGACAGACAACTTTTCCCATAGTACACCACAAAAGAGAGACACCAGTGTAGCACTAAGAACTAAGCGATGTGCTCCCTGGAAGACCTAACACCTCACTTGGTTCATTACAGCACCTGTGTGCATGCAATACTTCTAGTATAGCCAGAGGTACCTTTACAGTGTGGTTGCTGTCACCCAAGCTAGGCTAGCTCAAGTGGAGAAACTCAAATGTTGTAACTTGAATTAACTCTGAAGTGAAGACCTATCCTAAGACTGTGGATCTTTGTCCACATCTTGTAGCTGGTCCACATAAGTGGTTTATGAGTTTCTGCTACATTATTTAGTCCTCTGGTTTAAGTGGCAGAAGTTCATCATTTTAACTGTCAGGGTCCTGGATTCAAATCCCTCTGTTCGCCTAAGCAATTGGTTTTACAAGGCTCCTCAACCTTCCTGGGCTTTTTGAAGGAGGATAGTGATGTGGATTAAAGGGATATGGGATGGTTTGTTAAGGGTGGCTATCTAGGCTTCCGGTAAGCTCTTTAATTGTATTATTTATTTTTGCAAATTGTGAATCGTTATGACTGGCAAGTACTATTATTTATTTATATCCTTTACATTTTATGTATATGAATAGTCTGTGTAGCTTAGAATAGGTGCTTCTACAGTAGATCTTCAGAATAAACCATTTTGAAATGAAATGTCCTTTCTCTTCTCCATTTAGACAAATCCAGTGATTCCAAACTATGGGCCATATCCTCATTTGGTGCAAGTCTGCATGGCTGTATTGAAGTCAAAGGTTCACTTCCGTGGACGTACACTGATTTACACTAGCTGAGAACTAGCCCTGTATGTTTCAGTAATATGAGAAACTTCTGCTGACATGGTGATGTCAACTGCAATAAAACCAGACATATTACTAAATATTTGTAAAGTGACTGGAGCAAACATCTGATATCCTGTCCCTTTATGAAATTTTTCTCTTTCAAACTCATTCCTTTTATGTCCACTATTGCCATGCAGGCCTCTTGACAGGATATATTGACCCTAAGGCTGCTGGGAGTCCGCTCTTCTTATAAATAATGCAGCTAGTCTTCTGAGCCTTGGTTCATCGTTTGCAAATTCTTTCTCATCAAAGGCAGAGAACAGCTCTGTAAAATAACTCATGCTTATGTTGAACTAGAAGAGTACTATCGTATGTGTTTTCTCTTAGTGATGCACTGGGGGTAGCTGTTTCTAACTCCAGAAAGCTGAAGTATTCTTGCTTCCCTACCCTACCAGAATATAATTTCATGTCAGTAATGGAATACTGCCAAGGTTGTTAGGCTTTAAAATTAACAGCTGTCCAATATAGTAACATGTATTAATGACTGCAATCATGCAGCTCTCTAAACAGATTCTTCCTTGGTGCTTAGCTTTTTTTTTTTTTTGGCAACAGTGTCATGAACTGGTTTATGTAAAGTACAACTTGAGGTAAATTAGTACATTTTGTTTTTAATTTTTCTTTTTTTACATCTCCTATTATAGCTTACAGATGTTTCATTTTTACAGCACAGTAAAATAGGAGGCAGTTCTGTTAAATTTAGCATAGTAGCAAGGTATCCTTTACAAAAATAAAATATTTGCAATTTGATGTAACTGCTGCTCCGCTGAAATATGAACAAATGTTAATGTTAAACAGGAATTGAAAATGCTTTCTTTCAACTTTTGCAGTCTGAATTCAGGAGAATCTGTCAACTCTGTGCTGCATGGGGCTTATGAGACTAGTTGATCAGTTCTGATTCTATCCTATGGAAGGCAGTATACAAATACACATTAGTCAGGTCATTATAGTATTTATTTATGTTTTAAGACTTCTCCTGTTAGTGATTTAGACCAAGATTTTCAAACCTGCCTATCTAAAGCTAGGCACTTAAATGATAGGCATCTAAATAAAAGTGGCCTTGTTTTTTGGAGGTGCTCTTGTGGCTCCCATTAATTTCAGTGAGATCTGTGGGTGCTTGTCATTTCTGAAATTTAGGCTGTTTTTGTTTAGGTGCCAAAATATGGTTTGAAAATGTTGCCTTTAGGATCTTAAGCTGCACATCCTCGCGCACACAATAATTCAAAAAATAAAAAGCTCTGAATTTCACTTTTAACACCTACCTGCCTTGGTAAACCTTTGGGAAATAAAGTGCTTTCTAGGGATACTTCTTATTATCAGACACTTGGTACGGTGGTGGTGGTGAAGCATACTACTTAGACTTTTGTCTTGGGCCTGTAATAGTTCTCCTCTCACTACCTTTCTCCAGCTCACACTTCTCAAAATCTTTCAAATTAAGTTTCTTTTGGATTTACTGTCCACCTCCTGTCATGATGAAGCACAAAAATGGACTCATTTGGTGTGTATTGACTGTTCAGGCTAAATACTTTATGCAAAATTTGAGGGAGTTTAGGGGATAACAGTTTTTTTCTTCTCTTACCACTGAAGTGTCCGATTAGAGTACATCAATATCAGTTCGTGCTATGCTGGGCTGTTCTCCTTCTGCATGTTTTACTTTAGCAAACACCAAATAATTGCAGCTGAAGGATTGAAACACTGTTTCCTCTTTTTTTCTTGCTTGTTGTCTTTTGTGGGTACTAGACAACATTTCTCTGGCATTTCTTCCCCATTTCACAAACTGAAGCTGCTGAAAACATTTCTTCTTGAGATAAAAGGGTAAACTTCAGGCAAAAAGGCTTGAAATATCTGTTTATATTGAACTGTTTATATTGAACTAATTTGAATGCTACAGGTCTGGATCCATTTATAATAAAATCTGACAGTAGCACGCTTTTGGCGTCTAATTACAAGGAATATAGGGAGATCTGTATATATTTTTCTTGAGACCGTATTTTTTTCCTTGATACTTGAGGTTGTTTCTTGCAGTTTTTTTTAATTTTTTTTTAATACATCTTGCTCATTTTGTTTTTCAAAAAAGAAAAGGCTTTCTGTTGTGTCCTCTGAAAATTAATTTCTATTAATTTGTGCTGCCATAGAGATGTCAATAAGAGACATGTAAGCTAGGATTTGGTAGCACTTTGTGCTCTTTCACAAGGCTGATCCTCAGCTGCAAATTCTTCAGGGTATCCCATCATTCGGGCAAGGTCTGGAGAGAGCTGGTGTCTCCCTCTGTAAAGATGTGGAAGTGTACCTGAAGTCTTAGGGCTCTGGTCTTGGCTTTTTGTGTAGAAAGTGTGTCACAATGTGAGCATGTGTGGTAGATGGAGGGAACTGGAGTGTGAAGAAACAGCCAGGAAGTAGGTGTGTTGACTGGGTTAGGGGAGACTTCCTGTTAGAGAAAGAAATACTGTAAAATACTCAAATCCCTCACCTTGTTTTTGTTTTAGATAATATTGTAAGGATATACAAAAGCTCCTGCTTTGAAACCTTCACTTGGTTTTATAGTAAATCCTCTATTTAGATCCTCATCTGTTATGTGATGGCTAGAGATCTTCAGAATAGACTGCTCAACTCTAGAATTATCTTCTGAAAGGAATAGCAGGGGATATATGAATTGTGGGAAGCTTCTGTTGGTAGCTGTGCTGAAATAAGGGGGAGGAGTGTCTTCTGGAAAAAAAAAGTGTATGTATAGGTACACATACAAAATTGTATTATATCTATAAACTATATTGTGTGTATATTGCTTCCTGCATAACACACACACAGAGTCAATGGGATGTATACACTACCATATGTGTGTCCAGTATGCAAGAAGCCATGCTGGTGATTCAGTAAGTCACCAGTTATTGGTATGGAATCTGTAGTGCCTTCCAATATCATGTAGAGGATGAGATACTGTGCTGCTAGAGATGATCCATAAAACCGAAGTCCTGACCACTTTGTGGCCGTTTAAATTCCCGCAGTACTTTTTGCAAAAGCAAAGGTGAATGTTCTGAACCAGTGGCTCTCAACCTTTCTGGACTACTTGTACCCCTTTCAGGAGCGTGATTTGTCTTGTGTACCCCCAAGTTTCACCTCACTTAAAAACTGCTTGCTTACAAGATCGGACCTAAAAATACAAAAGTGTCACAGCCCACTATTACTGACAAATTGCTGACTTTCTCATTTTTACCATATAATTGTAAAATAAATTGATTGGAATAGAAATATTGTACTTCCATTTCAGTGTACAGCATATAGAGCAGTATGAACAAGTCATTGTCTGTATGAAATTTTAGTTTGTACTGACTTGGTTAGTATGTAGCCTGTTATAAAACTAGGTAAATATCTAGATGAGTTGATGTACCCCTGGAAGACCTTTTCATACCTCCAGGGATACACATAAGCCTGATTGAGAACCACTGTACTGTACAACTTCTAATTGGGTAAACTTAGCAAAGGGAAGATGCTCTTGTGGTCACTCCACTGGAGTTGGAGTCTCCAGATAAAGACTCTATTCCCAGCTCTCTGACTTTGTGTGCTTCTCTTTCCTCAGCTGTAAAATTAAGATAATTATTTTTCTACCTGTCAGGGATACGTTGCTTAATTTATCCAAGTGTTTCAAGATCATTAGATGGACAGAGAAATAGAGATGTGAGGTATTGTTGCCAATATTGATGCTGATAATTTTATTTAATTTCTTTTCCATAGGTTTATAAAATTTCCCCAAAATTCTCGTTCTTGGTGACATCGGGTCCTTTTGTTTACACAGCAATAGCTGTCATAAATGTGCTTATGAACAGCAGCCTTCTACGTGGTCAGGCCCCTGTCATCCTGTCACTGCAGCCTTCTTTCACCATGCCAGATCCCAGGTTCCAAGTTCACACAGGTGAGTTCTTGTTTCTGTGCTTCACACTGTAGAGAGGGGGAGAAATAACGTAGTATTGATACAGATTTTGATCTGGGAAGAAGGATGGTCTTGTGATTTAATATACAAGATTGGGAATCAAAAGATCTAGGCTTTATTTTTGTGAGGCTTAATTCATGAATATTAACAAAGTGCTTTGAGATCTTTGGATGGAAAATGCTACATACATTCAAAACATTGCTATTACTGTTGTTTATTTAATTAGTTGAAAAACTTTTAATTGGCAAGAGGTGAATGCAATGTTCGATTCTACTCCCTACTTTTTGTTATAGCTGATGATGTCTCTGACAGTCAGTGTAGGGAGTTTGCATTTTTTTACCAAGTTTTAAGAGTTAACAATTTTATCATGGTGCAAAACTCCAGATCTTTCTTCATCCTCACTGGCCACTTACCATTTGCAGACTGTTGCAGGGGAAATACAGAACCCTGAATAAGGGTCTTGGCAGATACATAAAAGAGAAAGGTATTCTGTTCTCCAGTATTTTGCTTTTAATAGTAAGACATATTTAATTATTTATTCATGTATATCTGAAAATTATTTTTGAATTTAAAGTTTATTTTGTTTAAAATGTTTAGTTTTATTTTGCTTATAATTTAATTTTAAAAAGACCTTTTCATATTCAGATTGATTTATATTCATGATGTGGGAGACTGGTGCTGTCAGTCTGACAGCTTTCACTAGCCACGTGCATGCTAATTAAGCACTGGTGAAGGGTGCCAGAATGACAGCACTAGAGAGTGAACTTCTTATTATATATTTAAGAATTTCACTTTCGAGTGCTGTTGCTCTGGCACCTTTCACCAGTGCTTAATTGGTGTGCGCATGTATGCACACATTATATATAATGTATGTATGCTTATTAAGTGCTGGTGAAAGGTGTCAGACTGGTATCAATGGATGCCTGGTATACCAAAGTTGGAGTCTTTCAACCAAACTGAATACTAGATTTCACCATCAGCCTACAAAGAAGGATGCTTCTGGTCGTCTTCTTTTTAAAGATTTTCATAAAAAAAACCTTGGATAATTCAGGGATTCCAGAGCTTCAGACGACTGACTCAGTATTAGAGACAATTTGTGTATAGCTGGGAATCTTTCAGTCGCCTGTAATAGGAAGTGGATTTTATTTTATTTTTTGGCTGCAGAATCTCTTGACAGCAAGTGAGCCTTATTGTCACATCAGATTTTACTGACAAGAAAACCTTCTGCATCAATGCAGAACAGTTTCTGCCATAATTAATTTCTTGAGCTGCACTGTTTGGACTTTCAGCTGCCAAGAGTGCAGTCGGGATTTAATGGAAAACGGATTCATTTATGGAGGGAGAGGGTTCCCTGCTTCCCCACTCTCTCCCTTCAGTGCAAATAACTGCACTGCACTCAGTGGGACTAACACATACCCTTTACCTCCAGTGCTTCAGTTTGTGCCTCAAAACGTTGATACTGGCTTCTGTAACTTCAGCCAGCGCATTGAAAAAGGGCTGACAATGGCATTCATGGAGGTGAGAAAACATCACCAGGATATCTTCAACTTCACAGTGCAGGTAAGAATGCTAGCATGCACTGAGAAAAAGGAAGTTCACTGTACTCTGCATCACACATTTTGAGTGGGTAATCTAATGGTGGGTTTATACTGAGGATAACTAATAGATTTTAAGGTTTTTGGGTTCCACGGTTCATTAGTGTTTCCACCAGTGCCATGTGCCCTTAGTAGCGATTACCTGAACTTTAGATTTGGAAATTGAGAAGTCTTTATTCGATATTGTACTCAATAAAGGGGCTTAAAACTCATTGGATATAAACTCTAAATCTAATAAGACATGCTGCTTTTTTTTCCTGAAAGTTTATTTATTCTAACTTTGTTCTAAAACTAAAATCAATAAAAATTGTGCTGTATAAACTCATAAACAATGTAAATAGTATCTAATCACCATAAAAATAAAATAACTTCTTTGTGTTTAAGTACATGTCTTTAAAGTGAAGAATATATGCAAAATATTATACAATATAGATATTAAGTAAATAGAAATACTTGGGTTAATAAAAATGGCAATATAAGATGTCATAATAAAACTTTTATGAAACAGCTTGTAATACCTGTACTTTTCCCATACCAAAATTAACTTTAAACACACTAGCCTGTCTGCTTTTGATGCATGTGATCTGTTTGTGAACGTAGCTGCTAGGTGAAGTTCCAGGGAAAGACCTATGGAAGCACATTTTGAGATCTGATTGCACTTTGTTTTCACCCGTCTTTGGCTCTGGAAGTGCAGGGCATAGTGGATTTTGACAGGACAGCTCTCTTTGCACAGTGTTCATTTACCTTATGTTGGGGGTCTTTTCCTATCTGTTCCAGATAGGTAAGGTATCCACACAGGCTTCTTTTGTTGATAGCTTTTGTTTTGCTGACTCTGCATTTGACTTTTCTCTGGATGTTTTCTTCAGTCGTTTTCTGGATAGCACCTTTCTCATCAGCATGGACTGTAACCCAGTTTAAAGAATAAATCTTGGAAGGGAAACAGTGTCCTTGCTGAGACAGTGTGGCTGAATGAGTCTGAAATGGATGTTACTCAGCTCTCTTGTAAAGCATCCCACTTTATATTATTATTATTATTAATAATAATAAAAAAAAATGGGGTAGTGAGGGAACAGAAGTGCTGGAGTTTTTGCTGTTTCTAACTTGTCCAGTTTTGTCTTTTCAGATACTGAATATAACTCTGAGCAAGCCTCGTGTGGCATTTCGGCAGGGCCCTGTGAACATTGTCTTTGCCATTCAGGATACATATGGATTCTTGAATGGATCTGAAATCAGTGAGCTGCTGAGGAACCTGTCTGTGGTGGAGTTCAGTTTCTACTTGGGCTTTCCTGTGCAGCAAATTGCTGAACGTGAGTACGTCATATCACTAAGGCGGCAGAAAATTGGTTTTGTGTGGTGTTCTCTGCAGTTTCATAGTAATGTTCTATGTAAGTGTTAACATTAGTTAATTTCCATAGCTTCTAATTTGGTCTTTCTATGCAAATCTGTATAACAGTGCCTCTGATCACATAAGCTGTTCCTGTGCAACAGTAGCTGGACTTAATCACTGACTCTAGTATTGGTTCAATCTGTAATTTGCAATGGGAGGGGAGGAGGAGGCGGCAGAATCAGAACACTTGTCCACAGGCAGCTAAGACTTCTGTTTTGTTTGTGAGAGAATAAAATGAGATTGAGACCACAGCCCAGAATAGGAGACAATCTCTCAAATAAATTAAAGTGAATAATTGTTGCTTCCTTAATTGTCTGAAGGCATTTCTCCTCACTCATTTGCTTGGTTTTAGTATGATTTACTCTCACTTAGTCCTATAGCTCTTAGTTTTGTATGCCTTTTAACCCAAATTTTGAAATGCTAGTACCCCAACAAGTCTGTGATTGTCAGGAAGGACAGAGAGAATGTCATAATTTATTTCAAATTGAGCTACGTAATGTTATGGACTATGTCTTTCTAGCTTGAAAACTATATCTGATCATACAGAATAATCCTAGATTAGTTCTCCATCAGTCCGGTCTGCTGTTACATACTCATTGTCACTGTGTCCATGAATATGTTTTGTTTCTGGCCCTGCGTCAAGCTTGTAGCGAATTGGGGCTGGTAAGCTTCTGTACTTGGGCCATTCATTTGTATTTGCATCAAATCCTTCACAATATATTAGTGGGCTGGTTTGTTTTGATTAATTTCTTTATTGAAAACCCATGTCCTGCTGCTTCAGTGCTACAGAACAATGAAATGAGAACAGAATTTCTACCTAGAGCAGGTTTCAGAATAACAGCCGTGTTAGTCTGTATTCGCAAAAAGAAAAGGAGTACTTGTGGCACCTTAGCGACTAACCAATTTATCTGAACATAAGCTTTCGTGAGCTACAGCTCACTTCATCGGATGCATACTATGGAAAGTTTAGAAGATCTTATTATATACACACAAAGCATGAAAAAATACTTCCTCCCACCCCACTCTCCTGCTGGTAATAGCTTATCTAAAGTGATCACTCTCCTTACCATGTGTATGATAATCAAGTTGGGCCATTTCCAGCACAAATCCAGGTTTTCTCACCCCCTCCCCCCTCCCACAAACTCACTCTCCTGCTGGTAATAGCTTATCCAAAGTGACCACTCTCCTTACATTGTGTATGATAATCAAGGTGGGCCATTTCCAGCACAAATCCAGGGTTTAACAAGAACGTCGGGGGGGGGAGGAAAAAACAAGGGGAAATAGGCTACCTTGCATAATGACTAAGCCACAAAGTCATTATGCGAGGTAGCCTATTTCCCCTTGTTTTTTCCTACCACCCCCCCCCCCCCAGACGTTCTTGTTAAACCCTGGATTTGTGCTGGAAATGGCCCACCTTGATTATCATACACAATGTAAGGAGAGTGGTCACTTTGGATAAGCTATTACCAGCAGGAGAGTGAGTTTGTGGGGGTGGGGGGAGGGGGGAGAAAACCTGGATTTGTGCTGGAAATGGCCCAACTTGATTATCATACACATGGTAAGGAGAGTGATCACTTTAGATAAGCTATTACCAGCAGGAGAGTGGGGTGGGAGGAAGTATTTTTTCATGCTTTGTGTGTATATAATAAGATCTTCTAAACTTTCCATAGTATGCATCCGATGAAGTGAGCTGTAGCTCACGAAAGCTTATGCTCAGATAAATTGGTTAGTCTCTAAGGTGCCACAAGTACTCCTTTTCTTTTTACCTAGAGCAATACATCCTGAAAGGCACGGTGCCTTGTGGTTAAAAACCTTATAAAACATCCAAGTGTGCTATCCTTTGTTTTGGATTTTATGGTATGTACGTGTAATTTTAAAGACCGCCTTGTCAGCTCTGTGGGGCAGGGACTGTCTGATAGGGTATGTCTACCCAAGAAACATACCCTGCGACAGAGAGTTTCAGAACCCAAGTCAGTTGCCCTGGGCTCTGAGACTCCCTGTTGCGAGTCTTTTTTGCTGTATAGATGTACCTTTTGTGTGTGTACGTGTGTGTGTACAATGTCTAGCACAATGGGACTGCTTCCTGATTGGGGCTGCTAGGTGCTACTGTAATTCAAATAAAAAATAATAATGCAAATGATGCAGGGCAGTGTTTCTTGACCTGGGAACCTGGGGGTTGTGGGAGGATTTTAGGGTGGGTCGCAAGCAGGGCCAGCATTAGGGGGTAGGAAGCAGGGCAATTGCCTGGGGCCCCACAAAGCTAATTTACATGTTTCAGCCCCGCTTGGGATGAAGCCCCGAGCCCCAGGTAGGACTGCTGAAGCTCTGAGCCCCGTGCTTAAGGTGCGGGGAGGGGGCACAATTTCATTTTTTTAAGTCCAAAGCAGAAAGGTTGAGAAATATTGATATAGGACATTCTCCATTTCTTCCTCACTGAGTACCTGTGTAAAGTGGTCCAGAAGATTGTTCTCTTTTTTTCACTTGGTCACTGTGTAGAGTCAGAACAATAAAACCATGTGCATGATCATTGCTTTAACCTGTTAAATCTGGTATCCCTACATACAATGGCATATTCAAGCATTCAGATCAGATTTTTCTGCAGCTTTGTCTCAAGCACAGAAGAATTTACCCCTGCACATTTGCCGTCCCTAAGGATTTGTGACACAAGGGCCAAGATACCTTCCATTGCTGTGAATTCCAGCATTGAGTTCTGTAGCCTGTGCAAAGGCTCAGACATCGAGATTTTTCCCCTCTTGCACAGGAAGAAAGACTTAGTCACGGTGTTAAGTAAATCATAAAATTCAATGTGATCACAAATTTGCCTATCTTGAGCTCTTTAAGAGTGGCTCTAACTTGAGCTGCATCAGCCCCTGACTCCATTTCTGGAGTGTGTTCCAAGTAGGGGACAGCCAATTGATATTTTTATATCACTAGTGATCTGACCTAACTAGCAATTCACTGTGTTTGATGTATACTGCTGAATAGCACATTTGCTTCAAAGGCCGCAGTAAGGGGTTGCATTTGTCAGTGTCTTTTGGGGACTGGAATAGTCAAATTTGAAGATGTCTTTAAAAATAAATTCAGACTTTTTAAAATAATCAGCTTTGAGTCCAGAATATAAGAGGATCAAGGATGTGGGTGATGCTGTGCACAGCAACATGAGGAATATCTTGTCTAAACTTGGCCGGTCCAGGATTTGAACAGCTCATATTCACCGCAGTTCTATCCAAACAGGGCAACTGGTTTTGATTTGATCCTCATGTCTCCTAAAGCTGTTTTTATTCTTTGGGTGATATCATTAACTGTCCCATGTTCCAAGTCTGCTGTGTCAGCAAAGAGACTCCAAGGCTTTTCACCCTGCACAAATCTGATGCCCTCTGATTCTTTCTCAGCTATGGGCCTTACAGTGGATGCCTTAGCAAGTACAACAATAAACCTAGCTTGCGTGCATTTCTGAGCAATTTCCCTCAGCCGTATGCCTACACTGCAGTTAAAAATCTGCAGCTGGCTCACGTCAGCTGATGCAGGATAAGGGGCTGTTTAATTGTGGTGTAGATGCTCGGGATTGGGCTGGAGCCTGGCCTCTAGGACCCTACTAGGTGGGGAGGGTCCCAGAGCTCGGGTGTCTACACCACAATTAAACAACCCATTTGCCTGAGCCCCACGAGCCTGAGTCAGCTAGCTCTGGTCAGGTGTGGGTGTCTAACTTCAGTGTAGACATACCTAAGAGACTTTCCAGTTGCCTGTATAAAGTTTTCAAATTGGAAGTGTCAATATAGTTTGATCAAAGGTTAAGACCAATTTTTGTCCTATAACTTGCAGAGTATTTCTAAATTGTTAAAACTGAGATCACGCTTAAAGAGTTTGTAAGCGGTGTTAAGATGGAAAACTACTCCTGTTGCCTTTTACACTGCATTCTGGTAATGGGGACCAAGTCTTTCTGCTTTCATGCATTTCACTTGATCAGCAGAGCAGTCATATACTTGCAGGAAGTCAGATCTAAAGATCTTAAACCCACTAAACAAGGCAGTCGCTATACTCTTGAATGAACTCTCTCAGAAAAATGATAAGACAAAAACATCGTATCACCTGTGGGTGAACACTTTTCACAAAGTGATTGCTCTATATCTGACCTATATATCTGCCATGGAGGATTACCTGCCTTATGGGTGGGTGTCATTTGTGTGCATTCGGTGCAAGGAGCTCCTGGCCCTCAGAGACCTTGTACGGGCTTTGGAGATTAGAGTGGCTGAACTGGAGGAGATAAGGGAGATAGAGAGGTACATAAATGAGACTTTCTGGGACACAGTAGAACGGTCCTATCCCTGGTCAGACAGCCTCTGTACTGTTGTGGAGGATGAAAGTCTCAGGGAAGGAAAACATCAAACTGGAGCAGAGGGAAACTATCCCATAGTTGGGACTCTCCTTCCAGATGATGTCATGGTATCCTCTCGCACTAAGGATACCTCTTTGGGGGAGGGAACTCCAGTTATTAGGAAGAGACAGGTAATAGTATTGGGGGATTTGATCATTAGAAACGGATAGCTGGGTTTACGATGACTGAGACACCTGCATGGTGACTTGCCTGCCTGGTGCGAAGGTTGCGGATCTCTCAAGATAGACTTTTGTGTAGTGCAGGGGAGGAGCCGGTGGTCGTGCTACATGTGGGTACCAGTGGCATAGGGAAGGATAGGAGAGATGTCCTGGAGGCCAAATTTGGCTGCTAGGTAAGAGATTGTAGTCCAGGATCTCGATGGTAACATTCTCTGAAATGCTTCCAGTTCCACATGCAGGGCCAGTTAGGCAGAACTGCAGGGTCTCAGTGCTTGGATGAGATGATGGGGCCGGGAGGAGGGGTTTAGATTTATTAGGAACTGAGAAACCTTTTGGGAAAGGGGGAGCCTATACAGGAAGGATGGG